ATAGAACAATCAACCAGTAGAACAGCTGGCCTCCAGAAGTTGTGGGTGCTCAATCACTGGAGGTTTTTAAGAAGAGACTGAACAGCTATTTGTCTGAAGATGTAGATATGAACTTCACCTTCAAGTATTCCTAACATATTAACGTTACCATGTTTGAAAAATACAATGCTAAACCACAATTTGAGCTGCTACCCTGAAGAATGGGTGGAAGAGAAGCAATCCAGAATTAAGGAGAATTTCCCGACAGTAAGAACACTCAACCAGTGGAACAACTTGCCTTCAGAAGTGGTCCATCACCGGATGTTTTAAGAAGAGTGAGGAATTCGTTAAATGAGGTCTGATTTTTACAGCTTTCCTTGACATATTTGTTAACTGAATCCCTGCAGATATTTTTAACTTAGAGGCGAAGTGGTAGATGACGTGATAACATCTTCCAATATCTCAGGGGCTGCCACAAAGAAGAGGGGGGTCAACTTATTTTCCAAAACACCTGAAGGCAGGCAAAGAAGCAACAGATGGAAACTCATCAAGGAGAGAAGCAACTTAGAACTAAGGAGGAATTTCCTGACAGTGAGAAGAATAAATCAGTGGAACAGAGGTTGCCTCCAGAAGCTGTGAATGCTCCATCACTGGAGGTTTTCAAGAAGAAATTGGACAGCCGTTTGTCTGAAATAGTATATGTTTCTTGCTTGAGTAGCAGGTTGGACTAGCAGACCTCCAAGGTCCCTTCCAATAACTCTGTTATTCTGCTTCATATAGTCCCCAGACAAAATCTCATTTCCATTCCCAGGATTTGGGGGCGAATCTAGAGAAGACCCCCACAGCTGGCTGCCTTAAGCTAGGAGGAGATCTTTGCAACCCCTGGGGCTGTCTCTTGCCTCTGGTCTGCTCGCGTGTCCATGTTCGCTGGTTGCGTTGCGAAAGCCATAAAAGGCGACACGGGAAAGAGAGTTTAATTTGAGTGGCCATCCTTCACCAGCGACGGGGATGGAACATTTAAATGCCATATGTCACCACCCTGAGGAGATGCGCCTTGCCAAGACCCATCTGCTTCCCCATTCTGTTTCTAAGCCCACTTGGCTCAGAGGCTCTGAACGGTTGGAAGCCAGGCCATATCTGGAGAAGGCAAGAACGAAGCAGCGGAAAGGAAGGAAGAGAGAGAGAGAGAAGCCATCAAAATTGATTACTCGGCTGGATTTTCTTTTAACGGCCCTCGCCAAAAACATGCAAATGCGCGAAGGGAACATGCCGGGCTGGGAAACAAAAACAACAAAACTCCTGTTTGCTTAATAGTACGGTTTTTCTTTGACTCCGAGGCAAACTCGGTTGTGGGTTGTCGCACCTGAGCCCCGGAGTTGCCTGTTGTTGCTCTCCTCCCTTCGGAACTGAAAATTGTAATGAAAGGAAACGGGTTTTTCCTTTCGGCTCACTTGAGCAAAACCGAAGCCTTTGAAGCACCTGCAAATTTCCCACCCCTCTCCCCCAAGCGTCCAAAGAGGAGGGTGGGGGGGGAGTCCAATTCCCATCCTTGAAAAGCTATCAAACCGAAAAAAATAAAATAAAACAAAACCATAAAGGTTTTGACTTCCAGGCCTTTGCTGAATGTTTTTTGACCTTTTGACAAGCAAAAGTAAATGTTGATGCCAGATTCCCTTAACAATTGGGTTTTTAACTCAACAACTGCCACGATTCACTTAACGACCGTGGCAAGAAAGGTCGTAGAATGGGGCAAAACTCACTTGACAACTGTCTCCCTTAACAACCGATGTTTTGGGGCTCCATTGAGGTCAAAAGTCTAGGCCAGTGTTTCTCAACCTTGGCAACTTGAAGTCCTGTGGATTTCAACTCCCAGAATCCCCCAGCCAGCATAGCTGGCTGGGGGATTCTGGGAGTTGAAGTCCACAGGACTTCAAGTTGCCAAGGTTGAGAAACACTGGCCTAGGCGTTTGACCTCAATGGAGCCCCAAATCATCGGTTGTTAAGGGAGACAGTTGTCAAGTGAGTTTTGCCCCATTCTACGACCTTTCTTGCCACGGTCGTTAAGTGAATCGTGGCAGTTGTTGAGTTAAAAACCCAATTG